ACAGAGTCTGGGGACTGGCTTGGCCTCGTAAGACAGGATAGGACAGTGGTTAAGAGTTCACTACTTGAACCATAAAAGTTGGGTCCCCAATCTGTCTCCCATGAGTGCCGTAAGAAAAGTACTGGAATAACATCGCTTTGATATAAATCTGGTCCCTATATAGAACAATAAACTGAAACTTGTAGGGTTATTGTCTCTGTCACAAAAATGATTTGCATCTCTACCAGCCAGATTTATTTTGCTTCACTGTTCTCAACTGGGGAATGGTTTTGTCCCCAGGGGGCACTGGTAACAGCAAGTGTGTTAGAGTTATCACTCAGGGTGGGGTTGGGGGTGCACAAGAAGACAGGTTAACATCTACGCTTACAAGAGCTAAACTAGTCTACTCAGGAAAGGCTTTAGAGGACAGTTCCTCCCTCCTGCCCTTCCTTTTTCCGTGTTTCTGAGGTAGGAAGGGTATCACTCCACAGTCCAGGCTTGCCTGGAACTGGCAATTCTGCATCAACCTTCTAAATGCTGGGATTACAGGCACTGCCAATAGCCAAAGCGGTATTTTGTTTGCTTGTTTTTTATTTTTATTTTGTGTTGTTGAATTTGGTTTCTGAAAGTTTTACCCCAGGCTGACCTCAAGCTCAGGCTGGCCTTGAACACCTGACCCCACCCTGGCCTTCAGTGTGCGTTCAGGCAGCACATTTTCTTACCAGCATTTAACACTGGGTGGAGAAACAGTTAAATGCTGGTAAGAAGATGCTCAGAAAAGGCTATCATTGTCAATTTTCAGGTTTTGCTTAGGCGTCTGTATGCTTGTGTGACAAACAAAACCCTCAGCAGGCTTTGACTCTGTAAAGAACACTGAAACTTCATCACTATGGTTTTCCTGTCAGATGATTTCTTCATGGTCACTATGAAGTGTTAAGAAAACCCATATAATCGTCAAACTAAGCAGGATAGACTGTGTTTAAAAAGGCAAGCTATATTTTAAAATGCTAGACTCAAAAACCCCAGACTCTCTTTTTTCCCCCAAGAGACTGTCCTGTAATATGGAGAGCATCCAAGAGGTAAAAAGAAAACCCACTAATTATCTGATGGAAAAATGTTTGGAATTGCAAAATCACAGAGTTGCAGTTTGTGGCACATTAATTGACTGGCTTATTGATCGCTAGGCCTGGGGACGGCGCATACTAGGCAAGTTCTCCAACACTGAATTATATCTAGGCTCTGTCTAGAGCACTTCTGATTGGTGTGGCACGAATTCTAGTAGTTCTTAATAATAAAAACACAGAGTCAGATATAGGGGTTAATGCTGGAGGATCAGAGAAGCAGCCAGCCACTAGAGAGTTCTTACCTCTAACCAATGCTTAGACCAAAGGGGTGTCCTGTCTCTGTGAATCCTCCTCTCTACCAACGCTCAGACTGAATTTTCAGACTGCTTCTGAGTTCCTGCCTCCTCCTGCTTTATATTCCTCTCTCCGCCCAGCCATATCACTCCTTTCTCCACCTCCCTAGTGGTAGGATTAAAGGTATGCGATCCCAACTGCGGGGATCACCTTTGTGTGAGCTCTGTTTCTCTTTTAGACAGATTCAATTTGTGTAGCCCAGGGTGGCCTTGAACTCATAAAGATCCACCTGCTTCTGTCTCCTGAGTGCTGGAATTAAAGGTGTGTACCACTACTGCCTGGCCTCTATGGCTACCTAGTGGCTTAGCTCTGCACTCTGATCTTAGGCAAGCTTTATTTGTTAGATTACAAAGTATCACTGCAGATTGGCTAACACATTTTTTCCTGATGGGCAAATAGTGTATGAATAATATCTCAGGAATAAGAAATGGAAAAATAAAAAAAAACAGGAAATGAAGATGCCTAGTTTTCCAGATTCATCTTCTATAATTAGTTGAACAATGTGTCCAATAGTTGTATTAGTCTGAGTCCATCTGGCACACCTAACAATGGAAGACCACATAATGATGGAAACTAGAAACTAATATATAAAAAATTGAATATACCCCCATGGTTCAGATGAGGAGCAGAAGGAGGAAGAACATGAAGAAAAAACTCAGGACCACGAGGGGTGCGATCACCCACTGATACAAGGGGACTGATCTAATGAGAGTTCATCAAGGATAGTTGGACTGGGACTGAACGAGCATGTGATACAACCAGATTTTCTGAATGTGGCCGGATTCTCTGAATGTGGCTGGCCCGGAGCCTCTCTGAAAAGCCATTGACAATGACACTGGGACTTGTTTCCTCTGCATATACTGGATTTTTGGGATTCAGTCTGTTTGGATACTCACCTTCCTGGACCTGGAGGGAGGGGGGAGGAACTTGGACTTCCCATGGGGCTGGAAGCCCTGACTGCTCTTAGGGATGGAGAGGGAGGAGGAGGGGGAGGGGGAGAGGGGGAGGGTGTTGGGAGGAGGGGCGGAAATGGAACCTTTAATAATTTAATAAAAAAATTGAATATATTACTTATATAAAATCAATTATTATTTTAAAACCTAATAATTATGCTTATATAAATATAAAATATAAAAACATAAATGATGTGGGATTCCCCTCTATATGCTGTGAATGTGTTTTGTTATCATTGGTTAATAAAGACGCTGCTTTGGGCCTATTGCAGCACAGAATAGAATAAGGCAGGAATTTCAAGCAGAGATAAAGGAGAAAAGAAGGTGGAGTCAGAGAGATGCCATGTAGCTGCCAAAGGAGACAGATACTGGAACTTTACCAGGTAAACCACAGCCTTGTGGTAATACCCAAAATAATAGAAATGAGTTAATTTAAGAGGTAGGAGATAGCCAATAAGAAGCCAGAGCTAATAGGCCAAGCAGTATTTTAATTAAAATAGTTTAGTTTCTGTGTGATTATTTCTGGTTTTGGCAGCCAGGAAACAAAAGAGCAGTCTCTGCCTACACATAAATGAATGAAATGTTTAAAACAGATTCATATGATTAAAGACGGTACAGTGAAAACAATTGGATATATATATATAATTTCATAAGTACAAGTAGATATTTATTATATAAACCAAAAGTAATAAAAAAAATGGGGCTAGTAAGAAGCACAAAGACCTAAGACATAAGTGGACCTGGCTCATCCTGGAGGGCTGAGGAGACACCCAAAGTACCTTCTCTGTCCTCCCTCAGCACTATGGTTGGCTGGACCTCAAAACACTGCCATGACTCTCTAAATGACAGAGGCCATGCTGATGCATTTTCTGGAGGCTCATTCTCTAGAATTTTGAGGGAGTCCACTCTCTCTAGAGGTACTTCCCCACAGCTGCTGACTTCTGGGGGCTGCTGCCTTCCCTGTACCTATCATCTGGTGATGTGAGATTCTGCTCTGTATGCTGTGAATGCCATTGGTTAATAAAGAAACTGGCTTGAACTGATAGGGTAGAACAGAGCTAGGCAGGGAAAACTAAACTGAATGCTGGGAGAAAGGAGGTGGAGTCAGAGAGAAGCCATGTAGCCCGGCCAAAGACAGACACTGGAACTTTACCAGGTAAGTCACAGCCTCGTGGCAATACACAGAATAATGAAAATGGGTTAAATTAAGATGTAAGAGCTAGCCAATAAGAAGTTAGAGCTAATAGGCCGAGCAGTGATTTAATTAATACAGGTTCTGTGTGGTTATTTAGGTTCTGGGTGGCTGGGATGAACAAGTGGCTTCCTACAACAATCTGGACTCTGGGGGAAGTCATGTTTGCTGCAGGCTCCTGGCCAGCAAACCTTAGGGACACAAAGCAAAACCCTTTCCTCCTGCTGTTTCTGCAGCAGCAGCTAGAGCTGACTGACAGCTGCTAGTGGTCACACTGTCGGTATGAGCTCTCCCGTGTGTGCAGCCGCTCTCTGCTGACTACAACAGTAGCTGAAACGATCCTCCCTGAGTTATCGTTGCCACAGGAGGGATTCTGAAACTTACCCTTTAAACAAGGCAATTAAAATCAGGACTTTAAACAGCGTGGCCAAATACATGTATGTAGCTGCTGCTTTGAACCGAGGTTTTATTTATGTTTTGTATTTTTCATATTGTGTACAACCCAAACACTCACTCATTGTCAATGGATGTTAGAAATAAAGAAGTAATGACAACTGACCAAGTGAGGCAATATCACAGTATATATTATATGAACTGACAAGATTGTGGGCACTCTATTTTATTATTAATATACAAATTTCATATCTGAATTAGGACTGCTCTACATATATACATAATTTTAATCCCAGCATTGAAAGAATTTCTATCCCCTGCCCGTGCCTCTCAAACAAAGGCCCTGGTTTTACATATGATTGAAGAAAACGATATGATTTTGTAATTCAGAGTGCTATTTTCAGAAAACCAAGTAAAACATACTAAATCCTTCTATGGATATAAAAGTCTCTGCACAGAGACACACAGGTATTGGTCAAGCAGAAGAAAACCTGCTACTACAAAGCAATCTCCAGATGCTGCAGTAAACTGCTGACTCAGTCAATGTCAGAACAATATTTTGGGTAATGCTGCTGACTGCAGGTGGGGGGCATTGCTATGAGATTGCAGACAGCAGCATTTTTCAAATTATATATTATAAGCAATACAAACACAAAAAATGCTGTGTAGTATACAAGGTTTCTTTCATAGTGTTTGAGTGTGTGTACACAACAGAAATATACATAATAACGTGGACACAACAACTACACACACAAATGCAGAAACACACAACATAATACTGGTGGACTGGCTAGGTCCTAGTCAGGAAAACCTGACCTCTACTCTTACAGAGGAACCCGGACCTTTGTGTACAAACTGTGCTGTGCCTTCCGCAGAGTGACAGCAGCCATTTTGCATTCGTGAGAGGTTCCTGTTCAATGGCTTGGGCACACATTGTTCTACAGATTGTGAAAAATGTGATAAAAAGGAGCAAGACACAAGAGAGCTGTCATTGTCCTGCGGGACACACTGCATCCCAGCTAATGTTCTTCAACACATCCCTCCATATTTCTTTTTTGCCCAAGGTAGGGTTTACTGTCCTTCAAGTTTCTTAATCCATCCCAGGAGGACTTGCTGCATTCCATCTTTGTGCTGTTACTCACAAACCTTAGGAACAAAGAGAAAAATGTGAATACCCCAAATTCTATTTGATTAGATCTTCACATCCAATACTCAAGAATGTTAAGATTACAAGGATTTTTGAGGCAAAAATTCCGCTTTCTCCATAAAGAACCACATTGAATACAAATCCCATTGTCTTAATCCTTGCACCAAATTTTAAGCCTCTCTGGTCACCCTCCGAGAATAAGTGCCTATTGAGTGCTCAGCCATAAATGGGGCATATATATCATTACTCTGCCTCCAATGGCTCAAAGAACATTTTGAAAGAGGGCACAGAAGGGACTGAAGGGCTGGAGTATGGGGAGAAGTGTGAAACACTATCTTCTGGATTTGAAATGACGGTTGTATCCGTGAACTCACTGCAGCTACGGCTTCATGCACAAGACCTGTCCAAGATGGGGCCCACCAACACTCTGTCATGACAGGGAGGAGTTCTCGAGGCTTCACTCCTCCTGAGGAACTACTTGCAGTTAACTGGGAAAGGGGAAGTCATTTTCTTCAGTGTTGTAACCACTGGTAAGTTGCCTATGCGCTGGTAAATACTCCCTACCTATGCTCACACAACCCTAATTAAACTCAGTGGTTCACAAGCAACAACAACAAAGGAAATTAACAACCAAAGTAAAAATAGAAAAGAAAAAGACATGAAAATAGGAAGGCGATGTACTGTGAAGAAGGGCTCAGTGGGAGTGGGAGGGTGATGAGAAGGATTGTGGGTGATGGAAATGACAGGTACATTACGTATGTGTACATAATCATCAAACAATGAAAATAGAAAGCCCAGATATCCATTATCATTTGCAATGGCATAGATACTTACCTACAGGAAAAGAAAGCTTTGAGGACCAGAAGTACATTAAAGGGCAGCTGCCTAAAGCATGAATTTTGTTTTTGAGTGTGGTCTGGATGTAGGAAAGAAGTATTGTAACCTTCAATCCACTGTGGTAAATGAAGGAGGCTTAGCAGAATTGTTCAGGAACTCAGGAAAAAACCTTGATGCACTCTTATTATTCAGTTTTGTCAGAGAAAACATATCTTTTCAAGTGCAGCATTTAATTGCTGAAATAAATGTTAAAATGTAAAATTAAAGTAAAATGTAAAAATGATTGTACTTTTTGACCAAACAAATACACTAGTACCTGAGAACTTATTCTAAGAATGTAATTCAAAAAGAAAACCAACAGTATGTACATATTGCATGTGATGTATGTGTGTGTGTGTGTGTGTGTGTGTGTATGAGGGGGGGAGAGGGAGAGAGAAAGAGAGAGAGAGAAACAGAGACTGAGACACAGAGAGAGACAGACACACAGAAAGAGAGAAAGAGAGGCACCATGGGGATTAAACCCAGGGCCTCATATGTTAGGCAAACACTGTATGCTGGTTAAAGTTTTGTATCAACTTAGCAGAAGTGAGGGTTATCTGAAAGGAGAGAACCTCAACTGAGAAAATGTCTCCATAAGATCGGGTTGCAGGCAGTAGGACATTTTCTTAATTAGTGATTGATGGGAGAGAGCACAGCCCATCGTGGGTGGAGCCACTCCTGGGCTGGTGGTCCTGGGTTCTATAAGAAAGCAGACTAAGCAAGCCATGCTGAGCAAGACAGTAAGCAGTACCCCTCCCCCCAGCCTCTGCATCAGCCCCCACCTCCATTCCTGCTCTGTGTGAGTTCCTGCCCTCACTGGTCTTATCTAGGTACTTATTGCTTATCTCGTATTTACAAAGGATAATACACATTGAATACTAAAATACACACAACTCAAGACTTTTCAGAAACTTTGTAAAAAACTATGGTTAAACACTACTCTTGTCAAATAATCAGTGAATCTGGATATACCATTAAAGGTAACAACTGCTCCTGATACCAATCTTCAGAAAATTGTTCAACAGACAGCCTCATCTGGTAGCTCCAACTTAGGACCACCTCATAAAGACTTGAGTGAAATAAACCCTTTCCTCCCCAAGTTGCTTTTGGTCATTCATGTTTCATCACTGCAATCGTAACCCTAACTAGGACACACTACAACACATAGATTTTTTTTGTGTGTGTGTGTGGCTAGATATGATGTTACTAGTCATAGTAACAGCAGCAAGTGTCCAAAAACAATTAGCAAAAGACTGAATGATGTTATGTGAATTGGGACTATGTGGTGGTTTGAATAGGAATCACGCTCAATAGACTCATGCATTTGAATGCCTGGCCCATAAAGAGTAGCACTATTAGGAAGTATGGCCTTTTTGGAGTAGGTGTGGCCTTGTTTGAGGAAGTGTGTCACTGTGGGGGTGGGCTTTGAGGCCTCATATGCTCAATCTCCACCTAGCATAGTATGCAGTCTCCTTTTGCTGCCTGCAGGTTAAGATGTAGAGCTCTCATGCTGTGGAACATTCCTTTGCACTGTGTGAAGATATGTCAGTGGAAGTGGTTGGAATGGCCAATAGCTAGAAAAGATTTCCAGGCACAGAGGACACCAGGAAGGAGGAAGAAAAGTCAGACAGATGCTGAACGAGTCAGACACATAAAATGGGAAAGAGGTAAAAGCCACATGGTAGAATGTAGATTAATAAAAATATGGGTTAATTTAAGTTCTAAGAGCTAGTTAGAAACAAGCCTAAACTACTGACCAAGGTTTCATAATTACAAGTCTCCATGTCATGATTTGAGAGCTGGCTAAGGAGACAGAGAAAGACTAGCTACACCCTCAGCTTCTCCAGCACTGTCTGCTTGCATGCTGCCATGTCTTGCTATGACAATAATGGACTAAACCTCTAAAATCGTAAGTCAATCCCAATTCAATGTTTTACTTTATAAGAGTTGCTGTGGTCATGGTGTCTCTTCATAGCAATAAAACCTTAACTAAGACAGGCTATTACGCCAGATAGTTACCGTAATATTATTTGCTAGGTAAAATTTTATTTCAAACTCAATTTAGGAAAATACAAATACATGATAATAAAAATTTCACTTTTTCATTCCTTATCCTTCCATCTGGTGTCAACTATGGGACATCTTTGTTCCATACTAAAGTGTAGCATCCGTGCTGCTACATGTACGGTGGTCCTGTAACGCCTGTACTCCATGTACTCTGGTGTACTCTGGCACTATGCCTGTAACCACCGCCTGCACTACAGGAAGGTTCAAGAGCCTGGAAAGGGGCTGGAGATTTAAACACACACACACACACACACACACACACACACACACACACACACACA